TATTATTATTAGTATTATTTATTTTTAATGAAATATTTTAGAAAAGAGAGAACTATTTTAAATTATAACAAAAATAATGTATATACAAATAATTCATTATACTACTATGTAATCGCTTTCTATACTTATTATTTTCTTTNGTGATTTAATCAATTTAAACAATTCAATCACCATTCACTAATGTTTGCCAAAAGAGAATTTCATTAATATTCAAAAGATGATTACAACCAGCAAAACAAAAGATGGCTTAAGAAGCCACTGATTGCAAAGTTAAAATCAAATAACGAAAATCCATATTCTTTTGTTGTAGAATTATTGTTTATCCTTTTCTAGTTGTTTGCATCACCTTCCTTTCCATTTTGATCGGTGATTTTTCAATCCTTAGAATTTTTTGTCAATGACTGTGTCAACTTTCAATTTACTTGAGTTCCAAGTATCTTTTTGAGCGATTCTGACATACAATCTATTTTCACAGCATAACCATCTAGCCCACTCATCTTCTTCAGTTTTTGTCAAATTTGTTTTGTTTGCACTCCAAGATTCAAAGATGGGTTAGACTTGCTGATGGTCATCATTTTTTATCATGGTGAATCCAATAAGTCATTGATGACCAATCCATATTTGAAAGAGAAAGCCTTCTTTCCTGATCGGGTGAAAAACGACAATCCCAATCCAAACCTCTTTGATCAGCTGTGTTACAAAATGTTTCATAACTCATCTTAAGTTGGAGTAGAACACCCTCACCAGTTTCAGATATCTATGAGAAACCACGTTTTTAATCTTCCTTAGACTAAAAAGCTTCCCTCGAATGTCTTCATCACTAATCCAACCTATAGGATTAGCATTCCTTGCAATCTGGGCAACCTTCCATTTTCTTCTTGATGATGATGAAGAAGCCATTTCTGATCAGATTTTGGAACATCTTTCACATTTCTAGGGTTTGTAACTCTTCAGTTTAGAAAACACTGAGTGCGTTTTCAAATCTAGTATTTATAAAGTTGTGCATAAAATCTTATTAGATTCAGGCCCAATTAAAATTTTCAAAAATATATAGCCCAATAATATAATTTCATCAACGTCAATATGTAGCCCAATTTATTGAAGTTGAATTGTCCTTGTACCGGTATCACGTCGAACTCTTGGGGGCTTTGACGTGATGGGCACTGGAGTAGTTGGGCGCATTAGTGGCTCCCAACGGTTTTCCTTTTTTCTATAAATACAATTTTGGAGCCTTCGATAACCTCTACACCTCCGTTTGTAAAATTTCTCGTAACTAATCCTTCAAAGTACATGTCCATTTTCTTTAAATATAGTTTCAAATCCTTTGGAACTACCCTTTGAAAATTCATGCTAACTTTTTCCTTTGGTTCTCCATCAATTCCTCTACTAAACAAAGACATTTCTTTGTTAATGATGAAGGCATGGTGAAAAACCAGAGGAAAATGTTAACACTTATGAATTTCGAAAACATTCTCCATTATTTTTCTGATTTTTTCATTTACTTTCTGTGTTTTTTTAATGTTGTTTCATGTTCATGTTTGACGCTATGTTTTGTAAAATGTGATTTCTTTTTGAAATCCTCTAGGATATAGGACGTTGAATAGAAATCGAATTTGATGACAACCTTTAACAGGGAACTTAAAAGTTTAAAGTTGACGTCGGTTATTGTCAAAATTCAACATTCATGTCTTTCTACAGGCAAAAAAGAAACGTCGAAGCCCTAACAGTATTAGTCATCATATAGTTTGATTAAAAAAAAAGAATACATAGTAGCACGGTGGTTTGAATTATTACCACCATAGAACGTCATGTTGTCATGGTATTGGACATGCTTTTCTGAACTTATATAATCGGTAAATTTATCATGTATCATTGTCAGAAACTAGATTCTTAAACCCTTCCTATAAATCTCTAAATCCTGTTCTCAAATGGCTTCTTCATCTTCACGAAGTGGAAAGAAGACTGCACAATTTGTAAGAAATGCTAGTCCAAATGGGTGGATCAGTGATGACGAAGAACGATACAAATTTGGATGTTATAGAAAACTCTTTGAGGTGGACCCTCACAAGTTCTTGGATCTGGAATTATTCAGAAGGGAGGGGTTTCTCTTTCAAAAATGGCTTGTAGATGTTGGTCTTGCAAAATTTGTAGAAATGACCGGTGATTGCTACCGTGACCTAGTAGAAGTCTTCTACCACAATCTGAAGGTTGTCGATGGTGTTATATGCTCTCGGGTGAAAGGTGTCGATATTAAAATTGATGATGAAATATGGCTATCTTTTACTGGTCTCAAAGCAGAAGGCTTCATGTCTCATGAAAGAAATTATGAACTCAACCAATGGACCAACAAGAAGAAAATTTATAAGGAATATCTGAGAAGTTCAGAAAGGCTAAAGGTATACAAGCCGTATCTACTTGATGGTTTGAAAATGGAAGAAAATATGTGTGCTTTTGTACTTACTTGGGTAATACTGCCTGGAAGATGTATACGTGATCGTCTAACTACTGAAGATTTATTTTTGGTTCATGCCATAAAAACCCGGATACCAACCAATTGGGTTGTTGTTATGAGTGAGCACATGATTGAAATTGCAAGTCGTCGTGGACATATTTTGCCATATGGTGTTTTTATCAACAGTGTATTGAAGCATCGTCAAGTTGATCTTACTGGTGAAAAAAAATTGGGTGCACCAAATCAAATGAAATAGGAAAAACGACATTGACCTTTAATGGTCTAAAGAAAACAAAAGATGGCTGGGTGTTCAAGGATGTTGACGAAACTCCTTCTACCTTCACTCCACACACTAAGTTTGAAATATTTGTTGTGGATCAATTTCAAAGGCTTTCAACAAGAATAAGGTTGTTGAAGAGTCTCACGAGAGGAGAAAAGTTCTCTGGAAATCCTTTTCTTCCTTCTTCTACTATTTTCCAGACCTAAAAATAGAGATTGAGATATTTTTGTGCTCCTAGTGCGAATCTTATCCTGCATCCACTAAAAAAAACACTAGAGCACCCAGTTAGCCTAAAAACTAAAAATAAAAATAAACAAACAAAAATTAAAGAACAATACAAATAAAGTCAAAATTGGTTAAAAATCACACAAAGTATAGTTTAAACCACGAGTCCCCGGCAATGGCGCCAAAAACTTATTAACTCACTGGTAAGTGTACCAAATCGTATCAAGTAATATAAAATGTAAGACCAAGTATCGTTTCCCAATAGACTCACGACACTAAACAATCGTGTAATTACTTAACTAATTAAGACTGAAAAGCTATTTTGTTGGTGTTTAAATGCAAATGCAACAAAAGTAAATATGAATGCAAATTGATCAATTAAGGAGAATGAATAGATGATGTTGAGAATATGAGATGAAAATGTTGTTGGGGTTTAGATTTCACCGTCCTTATTTTCATGCATATAAAAATTCATCTTCTTCATTAAATTGTTATTGTCACTCTCTAAATTACTTAGAACTCGATGTCTCGGCATAAAAAGCATATCCTTAATTATTAGACCACAATATCTTGCATCCCTAATAATCAATTTTACATTATGAAAAGAAGCTTAAGACAACCAAACGTTTTATCCCTATGTCTAGGCAATGGTCCCTTTGGGTGAAATTCTCCGGATCCTGGTTCCTAGGTATTTTCCAATAACAAAGAAAGTCATACATCATGCTATGAGTGATCAAGACATAACAAGCATTGAGTAAAGGAGAAAATCACTAACAATTAATGAAAGAAGCATAAAATAATTCAAAAAACGTATTCAAATACATGAAAGTTTAGAGGTTACATCTTCCCCAACAACAAATGAGTTTAGTTCTCCATTTTCATGGAGAACCCAGGTGTATAATGATGGAAGAATGAGATAAAAACCCTAGAAAGAGAAGAGGATAGCTCCCTCATGCCAAATCTGCCTCCAAAGGGTCGAAAAGTGTGTTTCTGAGCTTCAGCCATCAAAAGATGTGAACCTTAGGGCGTTCAAGTCCTTAAATAGATAAAAAATAAGTCCAAAGGCCCAACACGCCGGCGCTCAGCGCCCCTACTTAGGGCAATCGAGTGAGCTTGCGAGAGAAGTGGCATTGAGGGCCCTAAAAGGGGCAACCAGGTGCTCAACGGTGGATTGAAATTGTTGCTCAGCGCCCCTGGAAGGGCGCCCAGGCGTGCTATGGTGCAGAGTGGCGCTGAGGGCCCCATAAAGGGCAACCAGGCGCCCTGCGCTGACGCAGAGGGCCCCAGAAAAGGGCAACCAGGCGTGGTTGATTTAGCTCTTGTGCCCAAGACCCCAAAAAAGGGTAACCAGGAATCCTGCGACCTTCTGTAACCTTCTCTTCTAGTGTTTTTTCTGTCCTTCCTAGGTTCCAACTCCTTGATACTTTAACTCCTCTTTCAAATCATTCCAATAACCTACAAAATCAAGGTAATTTAGTGATAAAATCATCAAGTATAACCTTGACTCTCTTATTCACAAAATTAAACTAAAAACAAAAGTTTAAACAAGCTTCAAAGTAAAAAAGGGTTAATTTAATATCAAAATTGCATCACAAATAACGATATATTCAACTGTTATCAATATCTAACCTATATATACTAATTTATGATTAATTAAAGTCTAAAAATTTTAGAGACTAAAAATTTCATAATAAAAATGATCAAAATAAACCATTTTACAAACTTAGTATACGTTTGATATGATATTAATCTAAATTATAGTCGTAGATAATAAATCTTAATATTCAAACATTATTTTTAATTACAATTTTATAAATTATTATTGTACTATGAAATATTGTTTTACTGTTACACTTTTAAAATGTTCCATATGTTTATCATTATTATTATTAGTATTATTTATTTTTAATGAAATATTTTAGAAAAGAGAGAACTATTTTAAATTATAACAAAAATAATGTATATACAAATAATTCATTATACTACTATGTAATCGCTTTCTATACTTATTATTTTCTTTTAAAGAAGGGTAATTTGAGAAAATAAAAGAAAGTTCTGATGTCCAAGGTTGAGAAACAGTAATGATAAGTCTGTAGTGTCTTCATCAGGAACACAACACAACTCACTCAGAAATTATGTATAAGAATTCCAAGTGACCTTATTCCTTCACATTCTAAGCCATTACTTATAAGTTCTGCAAATTTTAACCAACTTCATGTAGAGCAAAAACAGTGCTATCAACTTTTTCTGGATATCCCAGGACCATCTCAACTATCATTTCAGCAGTCCCCATAGCCTGCAATAATTTCTCCATAATCAGAAGAAAATTATCTAAATGTTTGTTCAGAGTGCATGCTAGTGTTAACAAAGCAAACAGATTTTGCAGTGTTAACCATAAATTATCATACACTATAAGTTGATTCTATATAACTACTTTAGGATCTAATTGAAGAAATTTATAAACTAAAAATAGCTCATATTTGAGTTAAGAAACAGATTTTGAAGAAATTCATATAAATTAACTTATTTTCTTTCTTATAAGGTTCTTAATTTTCTTATTTTTATTTGGTATTTAAGCTCATACTTTGTGTGGTCCTCTATCAGAAAAACTTGAGATACAACCATTCACCGGACTTTAATATCACTAGAGGATTGTCGAGGAGAAAGAGAAAATGCCAGTGAAACATGAGTCTAAAAGCTTCACATCAACTACAACCTAACATCTTAAGACAATAATTTTATAGGTCTTCTTCTGAATAAGGTGCTAAACTTTTTTGTTATTACTCAATATGAGACTTAGGTTCATACTTAGATTTTCAACGTATACTACATTAAAGTTAAGAAAAATATGATTTTAAATGTTTATATATATTTTATCTGAACATGCATAAAAATTAGTATAATTGCCAAGTGAGAACTGACCATTGAAAGCCCACACCCTTCGTGTCCAGCTGCAAGGAACACATTTGAAAGGCCAGGCACAGGCCCTATCACTGGCTTTTCGTCAGGCACTGACAAAGATAAGATTATGCAAATCAAACATAACATGGTCTCTGTATTTACATAGATTTTGGAAATTTAAATACAGTATCAATAGCTGAACTGCATAAGATTGCAAAGAGATATTGTGACTCACTGTAAGGTCGTAATCCTGTTCTCACTTTTCTAATTGCACTTAGATCTGGAAGGGAAAGCGTTTTCAATTTGGGAAAGAATTCTCCAGCTCTCTTCCATATGTGACTTACCACAGACTCATCCAAATCGGTGTTGAAACCAACAAATTCACGGCTACTCCCTAGACAATAGACAAGATTTTGGTTTGAAGAAGCACAAGAATTGCTAAAATTCTAAACCGATACTGAAGCATTTGCATCAAGTACAAAATTTTATCTGCTTCATAAAAACTAGATAACTGTTTATCAAGAAAATCATGACAGGGTTGGTTATGTTGATCCAAAAGATAAGAGTTTTCAATCCAAAAGCACATCTGAACAATTCAATATCGCAATACATTGCTCCCCAATAAACAACAAAACACCATCTTGTATATGCAAATGAAACCATAAGGGTCTAATAAAGGGGGAAACAATTGAATAACAGCTACCATAGACACTGTTTGATAGGAAATCCTTTCAAATACAAAAGATTATTCAGTATAAATTATAGTCAGAACTCAAAAGCAACATATGCAATCATCTGATGTATATGGGTCACGGAAAAGAAGTTTACCAAGTTGAAGATTCCCTGCTGCGTCTATATTTGCTGTCATTGAAACAGATAAGTTTTGTTCAGGATCAGACGATTCTATACCAGAAATCGTTGAATGTTTGAGATAAGATGCCTCCATCAAGCCATGATTCAATTTAAGGGAGTTGAAATTCTCAAGCACGAGTAGATGACCCTTCACACCAAACAGAAGAATGTATAAAAGGAATATAGGAATCAACCTAACAATCACTCTTACCCAAATAAAGTTTGCACATGTAAAAGATTACAGAAACAAGCCACGAAAACTGGTATTGCAATCAGCAAAACATGCTAAAAATATTCCGGCTGCTGCTAATAGTCATAAGCTTCTTGAAATGAAAGGAAATATTAGACAATAATGCAAAAACAATACATCCCATTCCTTTGGTTCAAGGCAAAAACAAACTGCATTGTTATTTGTCAGGAAAGAAAATTCCAAAAACTGTCACAACTCAATTCAATATACAAAATAAAGTGTACCAGAGGGTGATCAAGGATCAATATGTATATAAGCACACCTTTCTGGGTTTTAACGGAACATGTAAATCCATTTTCCAATTTCTAAACAAGTCTTGCATCAAGGAACCAGTCCAACAACCAGCAGCAACTATGACTGCTTTCTTGCTGTATATTGTGTTGTTGGAAGTCTGAACAGCTTTGACCTCCCCATTGATATCTGACCTAACCACAGAATGATGCAAAGCAGTAAACAAAATTTGTTTCCTGACTACTGCTTTCAGTGTCAGAGTTAGTGCAACCCAAAGAAGGGGAAACAAATTAAACCTGATGAAACGTTTCACTGGGTCATTGTAAAATTCAGTATATCTTCCTTTTGCTGCAAAATTCCTGTTAGTCTACACAACAGGAGTAAATTTGTAACTCTAAGTCCGAAGTCATATACCAGTTATGTTGCAAGTTTATTGTAGAAAGTAAACTTTAATAATTATTTACATGTTGCAAGTAAAAGATATGGAAAGAGAAATGAACCAAGAATACAAAACCTTTTCAATATATGCAACAGTCCGACGAGCATCCAATTGGCAGTCATCTGGTAGAAATGCAGCTCCACTATATTTGTCCACCAACAGATCAGGTTCCTTTCTAATCAATTCATTGCTACTTAGGTACTCTGCTTTCAACCCAGCTTCACAAAGTTGTTTCACCCACCCTTTTAGCATGTCTGATTCTTCTTCAGTTCTACCAATTAATAGGCTCCCTGTAGATCAAAAGATATGTCACACCATTGTTATGATAGTTGGGAAAAGAGACCTAAATTTCCATGATTACAAATATCAATGCCTCATGCATACTGCATATGATATGACACTTATTAAAGACTAAGGATCAATAGACACACCCTAACTGCTTCAGGATAATCCATAGCAACCAATTAGCATCTCAAGCTCACAATCATAGGATAGTGTATATAATAATATCTACCATTCCAGAGAATTAGGCAGGTAGATATACATTCTGTTGGAAATCAGCATGATATACAGCAAGTGATCTCTCTTTTTTCATACAAATTAGAGGTGCTGATGTCAAGAAAGTGCTTTTAGGAAATGTTTAGATATGTAGCCACATGGCACCAAAAGATCTACTGTTTAGAAGAGGAAATGTGTTACGCCCCAAATTTCAGAGTGTTATTGGTTATTACAAAAACCGGTAATTTTCAAAACTTTCTTATAATACGGAAACGTATTTTCAAAAACCTCAGCATTTAAATTTACATCGCATAATAGTTTCAAAATACTTGTCCAATTGCATTATTTAAAAAAAACCAAAATAATGAAAAAAATAAAATAACTCCAATTACATTGTTTTAAAAACTCAATTGCAATAGCTTTAAATAAAACCCAAGTTTGTTCCCCATCATCTCACGGATCTATCATGTTTTATCTTCATCTATAGCATCATCTGCTCCCTATAACATCACATATTATATGATCATCGCATTCACATGCACAAACACAAACATGTATGGGATAAGCCACCGATAAAACAATCATAGTAATAAGATACATACATACTGATTATATCAACAATAGTCAAACACCCCATACATAGAAGTAATAATAATAGGATTCCTAAACCTTTAATCCAACAATCAATCACGATAAATTAGTATATCCTTGAACCCCGATCCTCGATCCTCGATCATCACATATCTAGACCGCAATCTATCCATTCACCAACACCTATGTTGTCTACACCACATAATCCCATTACTATCAATATAGCATTCCTTGGAGCATCATCGTCTTCGATACACCACACTCATGACTATCCCAATCAAGAACAACACCATGATCGTCACTATACCATAATACCATAGTGGAAAGAGTCCATCTCACTCATGTACCCTACCTCACCGAATGTAGCCGCTCCTACAGTCCACCTATAGCCTCCCCTATAGGACACCTGTAGTCTCCCATACAGATCATCAACTTCCAATGCATACAAGGCAAAAGGAAGCACATATCCACAGATAGAACCAGGATTTACGAGGTACAACAAGTAGACTTAACCTCCACTCTCATGCTCAGCAATCACATACTCAGGTGCATCCCAACACTCACTCATGCTCCACTCTCAACCACAAGTCAAACTAACCTAAACATAACCATTAACCTCAATCTCTTATTATCATCATGTTCCACAGCTCCTCAGGCTTGGTTCACGTTCATTCTTCATCAAATTCGTCATTTTTCACCAAAATGCACTGTGATGATCAATTATCACTTAAGATAATCGATTCATTACTACCCAAACCACCCATGAGTAAAATCAAAGCAACACACCCCAAGAACCACACCTACAACGGTAGAGAACTCTACCCCTCGTGCATAAGTTACACCACCAAAAACTCCACCGTTTAAACCAAATAACGTGATTTAAGAAATACACAACATCTATAATCACAACCATAGAGATTTATCTCCCCTTACAACATTATCATAAATTGATCAATGCATTCAGAATAATACTAAAATAAACATCAAATCACCAATATAACATTTATATCACAGTAGTTAAGTTCTTATTGCAATTCCATCACACCAAACAACATCAATTCATAATAAGATTATAACAACCAATGCGATAACAACACATACATTCCCTTAGAGGAAATCATGTTTAACCCATTAGCTTTGCACCATCTGTCCATTTAAGGCAACTCGTGTCTATCCAATCATCATTATAAATGTATGTCAACTTCCATACGTCACCATATCATTCATGTTTATCAAAACAAGATGGTTCTAGTGGTCCTCAGCCGTAGCTTTGGACCTGTTTCCCCTGTTCCCAACTGTTCACCCCAGCACTAAACTCAACACGAGTCGGAACCCTTCGGGTGAGACCTTCATCCCTTTCTACCCTCTCGCAAGAGGAAAGAGCAGCACTCGAATCTCTGTCCCTTCCACTGCCCCTCCAAGACGGAGACTCATCTCTTCCACCGCCACTTAAAGATGAAGAGATCAACCTTTCTACCCTTCCACAAGAGGAAAGATGACTACCTTTCTACCCCCTATAAAGAGGAAAGGTTCCACCGCCCATCATAGGCGAAGAGACCCATCTCTTCCACTGCCTTTTAAAGACGAAGAGATCCACCTTTCTATCCCCTCATAAGAGGAAAGGTGACTACCTTTCTACCCCCTCGAAAGAGAAAAAGGTAGCACTCAAATCTTAGTCCCTTCCACTGCCCATCATGGACAAAGAGACCCAGCTCTTCCACCGCCCATCATGGACGAAGAGACTCATCTCTTCCACCGCCTTTTAAAGACGAAATGATCTACCTTTCTACCCCTTACAGGAGGAAAGGTACAACACCGGATTAACGAAGTATAGCCCGAAGACATATAAAACATAACCCACCATCACACCACATGGTTGGTTGAACCTCGTGACTCTCTCACTAAGCTAACCAATGATCACGGAAAACCATTATCGCTCTTCTCTTTCCCTGCCTCACACAGGTGAAAGAGAGACCCTAACTTTAAGAGTATCAGCGCCACCACACTGAATAACTTCCTACTCTTGAACAATATCACACAGGAAGGGATACTCTATTATCATCCCAAATAATCAATTATTCCTAAAACCACACTCAAAACCAACGCGTAGATAATCGATTATAACTAATGATAATCAATTATTGCCAAATTGAAACACATCGTAGACATGATTCAAGCATTCAAAAATACATACATCAACCCTAGATCACGTGCAAACATAGTTAACACATCATACATGCATTCAAGCATCACATACCCATGTAAACATACTAAGACACATATAATACATCACTTGAATCATCCAGATCCAATCATGGACATGTTATACCACCAATAATAGGGTACAAAAGAGTCTCCGATAAAAACAACAAAATAGGGTTTTCGATCAGCCAAACTAACTAAGCATAATGCATACAAATGACAACCAAGAAGATGAAAATTCTCCAAAACAAAGCTGCTGATGCGAGGCTGCTTTCTCCCAAACTAGACCTCCGATTGACGATCCGAACGGTCATCATGAAGAACCATACGTCTAGAACCCACTGTCCATAAATTAGCCCAATCCAACGGTAAACGACTTCACAATGATGAAAACACCAGTGCAGGTTTTGTGTTATGCGAGAATAATTTCCTCTTTTCCTTTGGGCTGTTTTCTCCCAAATTAGACCTCTGATTGACGATCCGAACGGTCATAATGAAGACCCATACGTCTGGAACCCACTATCCACAAATTGGCCCGATCCAACGGTGAACGACTTTACAACGACGAAAACACTAGTGCAGGTTTTGTGTTATGCAGGAATAATCTCCTCTCTTCCTTTGTCTCTCACTTGTCTTTTCTCTCTCTTCAAATGACTCTAATATGCCCTACTAATCTAACCCATCTCCACTAAAACAAAGTGAAACATAATGGTCCACATTATTTGGCCTCTCTATATAGAAAGGGATCCCAATAACCCAACACTTACAACATATATTTGTATGAAAACCTTCAAACATCATAACTTTGTTCTCCCTTAGTATCAAACCCTCTATTGGGATAACCCAACAAACCATATATACATTCATAGGAAAACCCCAACACAAATATTACATAAACCCTATGCCCTTTCATACACAAATCCTTGTCCAACAATAACAACATATAATCATAATCATAATCATATAAACATGTATCAACAAGGATTATCAATCCAAAATAACCAAGAACACATATAACATACAACAATAAACAAAGGTAAGTTTCCCTATACCTTGGCCAATCATAAGGTTTTATCTACAACCACCAATCTTCCTTTACACTAAGAGTTTCTCGTCGCTCTCTCTCTTCTTCTCCTAAAACGCCAATCTCCTTTCTTCTTTTGTTTTCCCTCTTTGATTTAGAGTTTCTAAACACAAATCCACCCAACTCTATATCTAATATTTTCTTACTTATAATAATACTTTTTATTCTAATTTATTATAAATAGTTTATCAATAATATATATTATTATTATCTAGCCATAATATCTAATTATATACAATAATATCTAAATATATCATTTAAAATGTCTACAATATCTAATAATAATAATAATAATATCTCTTTTAAATATCTAGAGGGCTTGATTGATCCCTCTCATAATCTTCTGTTTATAAAAATAAATTGATACAAGAATACATGATAAATAGGGTAATCTAGACACAATATAATCATGATAAATAGAATAATCCTAGACACAATATAATCATGAAAATTAGGATAACCCTAGACATAATATAATCATGATAAATAGGGTAAATATTCTAACACTCCCCCTCAAGTTGGAGCATACAAATTGTATGTGCCAAGCTTGGAATAAATTAACTCAGTCCAACAAAATCAACTTGTCCAAAATGTCGAGGCAATAGACGTTGTAACTCTGGCTTCAAATAAGATGTACATATGCTTCAGACCATCAAGAGAGAATGTCTATAAATCAAATTGGACTCACAAACCAGCGTAACCAAAGAGACTCCTCATAAGCTTATGGAGAATAATATTGGACAACCACGAAACTTCATCTAGCACCATGAACCTTCAAAAGTAGGATGACTTTGACAAAGTTGATTTCCATCAAAAGTGAATGATGAGTGGTAGACAACGACAAACTGCAGAGACTGGATTGCCATCAAGTAAAGATGGGGCCTGCATGGCTAAAAGCGACAAAAATGCACGGACTGCTATCTCTGACTAGTTGGGGCCTGCAGTGGCTGAAAGGGACAAAACTGCAGGAACTGCCATCTCTGACTAATTGGGGCCTACAGTGACTGAAAGCAGGGACTGTCATCTCTGACTAGTTGGGGCCTCTGACTAGTGTTTGACTAGTGGCTGGAAACATACTCCCCCTCACTGCAGGGACTAAATTGCCATTACTGACTGATGGGCCTGCAGGGACTAAATTCCCATTACTATTGATGGTCTAAATTGCCATCAAGTAAGGATTACTCCTCATAAGCTTATGGAGAATAATATTGGACAACCACGAAACTTCATCCAGCACCATGAACCTTCAAGTCGGATGACTTTGACAAAGTTGATTTCCTTCAAAAGTGAATGATGAGTGGTAGACAACGACAAACTGCAGAGAATGGATTGCCATCAAGTAAGGATGGGGCCTGCAGTGGCTGGAAGGGACAAAACTGCAGGGACTGCCATCTCTGACTAATTGGGGCCTGCAGTGATTAAAAGCAGGGACTGTCATCTCTGACTAGTTGGGGCCTCTGACTGGTGTCTGACTAGTGTCTGACTAGTGGCTGGAAACATACTTCCCCTCACTGTAGGGACTAAATTGTCATTACTGACTGATGGGGCCTGCAAGGACTAAATTTCCATTACTGATTGATGGAGCCTGTAGGGACTAAATTGTCATCAAGTAAGGATGGAGCCTGCAGTGGACAAAAACATACTATAGGGATTAAATTCCAATAAGTGACTGATGGGGCCTGTAGTGGTTGAAAGATACTCCCCTCACGGTGAATGACGAAAACTGTGAAGGTGGAAGGTCATAATGATCTCCCTTATTCACCAAAGCACCACTAGGAACCATGGTAGAATTATGTTGAGAACTGTAAGGATGACAGATTCAAGGAACAAAGATTGAGACTTATGATGACATTAAAGGCCAAAGACAGGTTGGAGGTCCAAAGGTTCTGTGCTAAACTACTCTCAAATGGTGATACTTAGCACTGTATCACAAGAAGTACGGGCTAAACAAACTAGCCACGAGCCCAAGGAGAAAGTGACCAACAAAGATTGAAGAAAAAAGTGACAAAGTGGCGTCAAGAGCGGTTTGCTGACTTTGAAATCAGGAACCAAGGACGTATATGGACTCAACATGATTCGGCGAGTCAAACAATGATGAAACAGAGATCTAAAGGACTTAGGGTTCCAAAAATATCAAAGAATAAAACCCTAGGTCTGAGTTACAGACATCGAAACTAAGAAACAAGTACCAAAACGCACTCAGGAGCTCCGATGAGACGAATGGCAATGTTGTAGTGTAATTTCGACACGCATGACAAACACACTTGGAATGGCAAGGAATAGTGGTTGATGGTGACAAACTTATGTGGACAGCTCCTCACAGTGGCAAAATAGTGCCAATTAGACAACGGCAAACGACGCTGGACAACGACAAACGGCACCGGATAGCGGACAAACGGCACCGAACAGTGGCAAACAGCACCAGACAGCGGCAAACAGCACCAAACAGTGGCAAGTTGTGAACAACAACTAGGGTTTGGAGACTAGACAGAGAACAAGACTGCTCATTGAGGTATTTCATAAAAGATGAAATTTTTAAGGCTGCCGGTGGCGGCAGCCACGGGCCACCGGCGACAACCAAGACAAAGTAGGAAGAGACTCAGACAACTTGCTCTGATACCAACTTGACAATTAAACTGTAAAATAATTCTAGAAGGCTTGATTGATCCCTCTCATAATCTTCTATTTATAAAAATAAATTGATACAAGAGTATATGATAATTAGGGTAACCCTAGACACAATATAATCATGATAAATAGGATAACCCTAGACACAATATAATCATGATAAATAGGGTAACCCTAGACATAATATAATCATGATAAATAGGGTAACTCTAGACACAATATAATCATGATAAATAGAAGAAACCTAGACACAATATAATCATGATAAATAGGATAACCCTAGACATAATATAATCATGATAAATAGGGTAAATATTCTAACAAATAATAATAATATCTCTTTTAAATATCTAAACTCACTAAAATTATATCTCATATTTTTCAGGATTTTACAAAATGGCTTTGAACAATGTTCCCAACACTTCAAGAAGGCATATGTCACTGATGCATGCTATCAAACAAAATGAAATCTAAAATACTCCCTACAATACTAAATGTACTTATTAGTTAGAATTTGAGGATATTTCTTCAATATGACAAGCTACCATCTTGTGAGTTTCCAATGGATCTTTTCTTCATCATTTATAGCTCATTTAATGAAAACAAATCGTTTCCCATAAAGTTTGAGAATACTTATAGTTTACATGAGAACACTTGTAATGATTTTGAATAAGAGCATTATTTGAGTGTAGATTTTTTTTTGTAATTGTGAATCATTCTCTTCTTATAGTATATCAAAACTTTTGTTACGTACCTGAGTACGTAAACTAGCCAAATACAACCTTTCACACTCTCTCACACGTAACAGAACAATAAATGAATGATATTGGATGAATGAATCTCTTTTATTGATGGTAATATCTAAATAAACAAGGGTAAACAATAATTGGGAGCATAACCTCCTTCAATTACTTTGAGAGCATAACCTCCCTCACAAGACAATAATGTTTGTCACAAAACTCAATAATCAAAAGCATGTCTTTAACCCTAGACTCTAACTTTATTTATATTAATTATTTCTCGCCCATCTCTTATTAAATATTTCTCTAGAATATATCTGCATTTAATATAAATATCCTTATATTTAATATTTAATATAAATATCCCTATATTTAATATAAATATCTCTCCGTATATTATCCTAGCATATATCCTTAATTATAAATATCTTATATTGAATATTTCCCTAAATATATATTTATTTACTCTAATTAACTTATACTATATTTATTTACTCTAATTAACTTATACTAAATATTCTCTGTGCTCATATACTTTCCAACCCTTATTATTACCCCTACGTTATATCGTAACAACTTTTCTCCTCCATCTTTGTCTAATTTATATTAGGCCAAAATCTATTCCTCATGTACTCGACAATATCTTCCATTGTTGAGACTTTGACTTGGCGTCAAGAGCTTAAATTTTCTCAAGAGGAACTTTGAGACAGGAATAAAAGAAGCTGAAAAGTCAGAAAGAAAACCACATATAAAAACCGCTAAACAGAAAACTCCAAATCAAAAATAGTTTCTAATTAGGGGCGGGCAAAAAACCCATTTAAAGTCACTGATCTACTTTTGTTCTCACCCAATCCATTTAAAATCCATTTTATGAAAGATCCAATCCATTTAAGATCCATTTTATTAAATATGGGTTTTAATCTGATCTATATTTTTTAGTTTTTTTGGATTGGATATCCATTCTTTTAATAGCCATTTTCAAATAGGGAAAATCTAAATTTCCAATCTACATTTTCGATCTAAATTTTCAGAAACATCGAGACCGTCTTGGCCGTGCCAAAGGTAAAGATGGTCGGGCTCTATCAGTGATGAAAAGGTATACAAACTTCAAAAAGGCTCTATCTTATTTGAAACAAGCTACAATAGTCATAGTACAATAGAACTAAATGGTTTCTAAAATAAGACTTTTCACCGGGTGAGAATGAAGTCACTCAGTATGTCAAATGGAAAAATCTCAAGTGATACAAATCTCAAATCGAGTAGAGATCAGAACAAATTATAATATATAAAAAAGAATAAATTTTATCTTCCAAAATCTGTTTTGTATGTTGAATTAGGCCACAGTACCTTAATATGGTATGGTGTCACCCACTGTCAGGCTCCCATCATTCCCCTTAATTTCTTGAGTAAATAAGAGCACTTATAGTGATTACTTGTTACTAATGAGAACGAGGGCTCTCTAGCCTTACACAAGCAGTTGGATTTTTTTGTAATCGTGAAACATTCTCTTCTAGGAACATTTAAAAAAATTTCTTAATTTTTATCTCACCTGAATTCCACCAAAATTTATTTTGCATTTACTCACATAATCTCTTCCATTGTCAGCACTTTAAGATTATGTGTTCTCTCTACAGAGGTGCTGTGAAAGCATTTGCATATAAAAGGAAAAACCATGATTGTAACACAAACTTTATGTGTTCTCTCTACTAAAGATGCAAGTTTTATATGCAGCTTCAAATTCTGCGAGATACATTTGCATGTCTCCCTTCCAAATTGCAGATGAAACAAAGAAATTTATAGAAAGATGGAACTACATACCACATTTTTTCCAGCCCAGCTCCACCATAGGATCCAAGCCTTCCTCTTCTATGCTGTGTGCCAGCATTTTCCAAAGTTGGTGGCTCCTCTGAGAAAGATCCCATATAGCACTCCCAGGGGTTTTGTATATCATCCACAGATATCCCTGTCCTAAAACAAACTAAATTGTAAACCATTTTCGTTGTAAATCACTTTTTCTTGTCTATAAATAGAAATATTAGATATCTAATCTGTTTCTATATTTTTATATCACATATCTCTTAAATAATTATAATTTACAACTACTTTTTTCAAGTTTAAATACAGAATACTTATATGTGAAGTATACACATATAAGTATAGGAACTACACACGAACACCTCTATTACGGGCTTTCACTGTCAACACCTATGTAAAATACAGACAGTGTGAATACTGGTCTGCACTTACTGTAATAATACCAATGGTTACAGATGCCATAAATGGGTTGAATGAGTTAAAAATTATTCTTTCTAACCCAATAATAATAACTTAAGATCATGAGCTATATCACAGGAATTATCTTATAAAATTCGATTGAGCAGAGATAAATTATTACATCAGTTTAAAAAAATTACATAAAAAACTTGCATAAGAATTAATTTTTTTCTAAAAATATAGTATTATACTCTGAATTTAGAAGACAATTTTAAGTCAATTTTTAGTGTTGTAACTAGATTTATTTGATTTAACCTGTGATGATAATCCAAATTGTTCTTGTATTGCAAATAAGAGATGGAGGTTAGTACCAGCGCCAGTAGAACCGGAACAAGGAACTTCCTTATCGATTATGGCGACGGAGAGATCGGAAGAGATGAGGAAGTGGCGAGCGATGGTCAACCCAATGATGCCAGCTCCCACTATAACCACGTCATATGCTTCAGCCATAGCACTCTGCTGCCGTTGAAACCCTTCAACAAAACTTCCTATTTGTTGCTTCCACTGAACAACCACAACTTCGTTGCTCGCACTGTCGCTGATCTTCTGTCTGCTTGGTTTTCGATACGCATTCTCCACTCTTCATTTTGCTATCAGTTTCATAAGGTAAAACATTGAAGGATCCTTATAAATTTAGAAATAAAAATGCTATTAAACTTTATCATTTTAATTCTGAATGTGTAAATTGAGAGATAAACGTGTTTCTTTTTATTGCAATAATATTGAGTTGACATTTTTTTAAGATTTTATTATATAATAATACAATTAAATTATATTAGTGTCTTATTTTTTATATTAAGTTGGTCACAATTGTTTAGAAATTAATTTTTTTATTAATTATTAACTCAATTTTGTACTTAAAATAAATTTGCATACGTTTACAATATATTGATATCTTAAACATAGAAATAAACCAATAAGAGTTGTTGTAAAACAATAATTTAATGAATAATATACTTCATTTTTATAGTTAACATTTTACATCAGAACTAATATAATGAACAAGAACCTTGCCAATCACTCTCCAATTTTGGTCCCTCTCTCAATCCTAATTTTGATCCCTCTTACTCAATCAATTAACAATTTCGAATCATGGAACCCTAATTTCGTGACAAATATTTTCGATTTCAAATGTTAACAGATTAAAAATGCTTAAAATATGAGTATCCACGTATCATGTGCTCTAATATGCCATGTAGTTTAATGAAACTAGGTCATAGCGACATGTCAGTTTAAATTTAATCTTATTATCCCAATTTAACGGCAGAGATCCAATTGTAATGGTTTTTCACATTTAGAAACTCAATTGAGCCAAATATAAAATAAAAGAACTATTTGGGAAAACCTGACATAAACAAAAACTATCTAAATCATTAAACCAAAAAATTATAATTACAATATACCTATGATACAAAGAAAATCTCGTATAGAAAAAATGATAATCACTACAAAAATATGCAATTTTTCTAGGGATTACTTTTTATGTTACCAACGGTTTTAACCCCCGGAAAGCACATTTCACGCGGTTGGGAAAACTGTTGAGAAAACCTGCGCCGCTAAGTAAGTATTGGCATTTTTTCACAAAACCACCGCAATTTCTGAGGGTTTTTCCAGAACCGACGGTATTACCGAGGGTTTTTGAAAACTGCCGAAATTTCCCGAGGTTTTGTGAAAATCATCGGTATTAGCAGGGGTTTACGAAAATCGTCGAAATTTTCAAGGGTTTTGTGAAAACCACCGATATTAGCGGGGTTACTCAAAAACCGCCGGAACTAGCTGGGGTTCTCTCAAAACCACCCCTATTTTGCATGGTTTAGTTAACTGGGGTTTTAAAACCGCCAGAAATGTATATAGTTCATTTTTTTTTCATTGTAATAAAATTATGTCAGAGTGGCTGCAGCGGAATGGTTAGCATGGGATAACAAACCAAGAGGGTTTTTAATACGAACGTGTGCCTTTTAATTTCTACTCAATTAAACTTACTAAGCAAATAATAAAGACAAATAAAGAGAGTAAAGTTGAGAGAAATTTGCACAGATAATTTTATCCTAGTTCGGATCTTACCAATCCTACGT